ACAGTTGAAGATCGAATTTCAACTTTGCTATTAAGCATTATTTTGAAATTGTTCCATGTTTAATTGGTAGCATATTGGAATACTTAAGCATTCAAAAAGAAACATTACGATCTTACGAATTACGAAAATTTTTGACATAAAAAAGCTCTCTTCTACAATTTTTTGATGAAAAGGCACAGCGGCAATGATGTTTTTTGCCATTAACAGATAGTTACAGGTGGATAGCCCCCGTCAATAATAACAATAATCTGTCAAACTATCACTTACTTTGAATTTTTTTTCACGAATTTGCGGATCTGCGATTAGTTCAGAGGAAATGCTACAGTAAGATAGCAGAAGCTGAAAGGACTCACGCCAACAAAGGGCAAGGAGAGTGGTTACAGGAAGATAGTGGACGACAATCGATGTTCGGGTTCCAAGCATAGAGGAACAAGTATTGGATATTATCGAATCAGGGTCTTCCAGCGGCACTCAGAGCACAATAACTGACACTTTCCCAGGCACCAAATAAATACCGGCTACATTCCTACCACGTTTGTACGATACACACCAGAGATAAGAAATAATTCTCTTGTCTCTGATACACACAGCACAAGGAGATACAAATGGAGCACGAGTTAATTAACTGAATACGAGAACCTGCTTGATAAGGAGATAGCACAGGCGCTAGCTTGTTTGGAGTTAACCATTCAAATGTTTGGTGTTATATGGATTATTTATGTAAACACCAAACCCCGCAGTATTCGAGGTTATGAGAACAGGTTGACATTTCGAAATACGTTCCGTCATTCAACGATTGCTGTTGAATTTACCGTTTATCCGTGTCTATCTTATTGTCACTCTCTATTTATCCATGGTTACCGGAATTTTAAATAATTACGAAACAACAGGTATTTGCGCAATGTTAATTAGGCAGATTACCTTGAAAAACATTGCTGCCGTATTTCTGATATAGTTTTTTGAAAATTTCTTAGTTTTTCATAACATTAATTTCTTTTACTAGTTTTTCTGTACTCCTATAACACCCCCAGAGGAATGACGCCAATTTTGAATCACCCTCTATAGGGTGTTCCATTTAAAATAATCAAGTTGATACCTACTTCCGGTATACCCGGAAGTGTGGCCAGTTTGAAAATATTTTAGACCGCTTGCTCCCAATGACCAAATGAAAAATTCACACTGTCTAATTTTCAAATTTCTCCTAGTTACAGTTTGTCAGATATGGATCGCGGCGGTTCCCTGTGGGACACCCTGTATTTTCATTTAATTGTGATCTTATCTTATGATATTTAATCTAGCATCGTATTCAGTCTATCTGATGCATTTGCCCAAATGCCCGGTACAGAAAATTCGTATTGCTACTTTACCCCCTCTTGATCAAATGTTCCTCATACCAGTTAATAAAATTACGAAAAATTGAAATTTCTTCTCTTAAAAATCCTTCTTGGTCTGTAAGAACATGGCCAAATAAATGTTGCTCGTTTGCCAAGTTTTTTAAAAACCACATAATCCATTCTTGCACATTGCGGTTTTAGAGTGGCCCTCTGTGTTCAGACGATGCAGATATTTCCAAATTCGTGTAAAGGTTGGTTCTCATGGGTCCGGAAGCGGAATGCGGAAAGCGCGCGCAGCTTACTACTACCATTACTACGCGCGGAAAAATTAACGCAGTTCACATGTACCGGGATTATGTTTTCACATTCCGATAGTGGTGGCATATCTTTCGGGAAGCGAGACACGATGCAACTCTTTATTCTACATTTTTCTTGCTATTATATTGAGGCGCATGAGATGAACGTTCGAAACCAAAAACTAAATCTGATTTTGTCTTTGTACGTTCTAAAAAGAACGAAACAAAGACCTCAAAATGAAAGGCAGTCAAATAGGCGCCGCTGAACATAACTTTTCACTGCAGCATCACCGGCCAGCCTAGGTTTTCACCTTCTTCCGCACGGCATGCAAAAAATATTAAAATTTGGGAACGTCTGTTGATGGGCGGCGCTAACGCATCCGGCAAACTTCTGATTGGTCGGAAGGTTTTCCGCATTTCGGGCTCATGAACATCCAGCTTAAGAAACAAATCTGGTACTATTCGGTTATGCTCAAGAAGTTCTTAACAATGAAGACCTTCGATGACAAAATATTCAAAAGAATTTACGACTTTCGTGCTATATTTTTCTATACAGGGTGATTCAAAATTGGCGTCATTCCTCTGGAGGTGTTGTCTGGCGCTGTTATAGGAATACAGAAAAAATAGTAAAATAAATTAATTGTTATTAGAAACTGAGAAGTTTCCAAAAAACTATATCAGAAATACGGCAGCAATGTTTTTCAAGGTAATCTGCCTAATTAACATTGTGCAAATACCCGTTGCTTCGTAATTATTTAAAACTTTGGTAACCATGGAATTATACAGAGTGACAATAAGATAGACAAGGATAAACGGTAAATTCAACAATATTCAGTGACTGCGCAACGTACTTGCGACATGTCAACCTATTCTCATAACCTCGAATTCTGGGGGGTTTGGTGTTTACATAAATAATCCATACAACACTAAACATTTGAATAGTTAACTGCAAACAAGCTAGTGCCTGTGTAATCTCCTTATTATCCACTCTTATCAAGCAGCTTCTTGTATTCAGTTAATTAACTCTTGCTCCATTTGTATCTCCTTGTGCTGTGTGTATCGTACAAACGTGGTAGAAATGTAGCCCTTCCTCATAATTTATTTGGTGCTTGGAAAAGTGTCAGTTATTGTGCTCTGAGTGCCCCTGGAAGAGCCTGATTCGATTATGCCCAATACTTGTTCCTCTGTGTCTGGAACCCGAACATCGATTGTTGTCCACTATCTTCCTGGAACCACTCTCCGTGCCCTTTGTTAGCGTGAGTTCTTTCAGCTTCTGCTATGTTACTGTAGCATTTCCCCTGAACTAATCGCGTATCCGCAAATTCGTGAAAGGAAATTCAAAGTAAGTCACATTTTGACAAATTATTGTTTTTATTGACAAGGACTATCCACCTGTCATTGCCGCTGTGATTTTTCAACAAAAAATTGTAGAAGAAAACTTTTTTGATATCAAAAATTTTCGTAATTTGAAACAAAGATCGTCATTTTTCTTTTTGAATGCTTAAGTATTCCAATATGCTACCAATTAAACATGGAAAAATTTCAAAATAATGCTTAATAACAAAGTTGAAATTTGATCTTCAACTGTTAATATCTTTTAGAAATTTTCTAGAAAAAAATGTTCAATATTTTTTTCGTACTCCTCAAGTAAGCCTCTATCATCCCTCAAAAGAAATAACGCCAATTTTGAATCACCCTGTATGAAATGAAATATTTATAATTCCCTATAATTACTGTTTGGTTATTCAACGTATCCCAGATTCTTCCGGACTAATACCAGGTCTATTTGGGTACAAAAAACAGATGAATAAAATTTATCGAAATTTGTGTGTTAAAAAACATCTAAAAATCAGCCTTTATAATACCAGAAATCAAATCGAAAAAGTAAAAATAAATCACCCCTCAGCTTTAAATCGAAATCGAATTGGACCTACATTGATAATAGAAAAAAATTGTGAGGAACCGCGAGCGATGGTCCATGTTTTATTATACACTCTGTATATTAAAACTTAAAAAGTATGTTAAAAGGTGTTTTTGTGATAAAAGTGACATTTTTAGGCCTGCGGATCTGCCGATCTAACTAAATACCCCAACATACGACTATGGTACCGAAGAACAAAGAGCGAAATGAGCGCATTCGGTTACGAAGAAGTCAACCAAGCGGGATCAGAGGTGTTTGCTCAGTTCTACAAAACTAAATTATCAGCTATACAGTAATTAAACAAGAGCACGTAGTTAATTCATAAGAAGTCAAGTTAGTTTACAGTCAATGTTCACATCTCGGAGTTAAAACACGCTGATTTACCTAAAAGCATGAATAAAAGTATTGCATAGATTGCATCGTTTTTTATTTCCTTGTTAATCACTCGGTTGGAGCCACCGGTCTCTTTTCTAAGAATTATCTCTATTGCAGAGCAACATTAACGTTTTAGCGAAGTTGCAATCTATCAATATTCAGGTAGGTGGATATTTAAGGTAGTTCGCTATGGGAAGGAATCGGTGATAACATTGTCCCAATAATGACCATCACATACCTTTGCACATTCAGTTGTTCGGTTAGTGGTTGAAACGCGCAATTTAGTCGTCTCCAGAAACTCGACCTAGACTCATTTAACAGTGGGAAAATTTTCGTACATACGCCGGTAAGAACCAGTTGCGAATATTTAGATATGTTCTGATTTGTTTATTTGCTCCTAATTTTTTAGAAAAAATGGACCGCATATTGCTCGTAATTGTAATGGGAATTCCAATAATACCCCATTTGAGCAATGCTGAACACATCGAAATTTCGACTGGCATGCCTATGACCCTAACACCGCCTATCATTAATTCAAACTCACCTCCAGACGGAAGAACTCAGTTTTTAAGAGCTGTGGAAAACTACCTCACCGAAAGCACAAACGTGAAGACGCAATCTTCGAATCCCAGCGTAGATTACATAGGCCAACCCCTGTATCCTGTGTATCCCCAATATAATGCAGTGGGAAATATGAATACTAGTGTCGTCCCAGTAAATGGTGCGAACGAGACTACTAACTATTCTTCACTTATCGTTCTTGTTCTTAAGGTAAGTACTAGATTGTCTTTTGAGTTGAATGCTGGCTGGTGACCAACTGCCGACTAGTTTACGTGTTTTTGTGCCTTTCAAACACATTCCTACCTACACTATCTTTATGTTTTAGATGGGAGTTGAGGTCTTCCGCCAGCTATTCCTATATTATCTTATTAGATATTTTGTCATTAAACTTATAAATTTATTTGACTTCATACTGGCTTTAAGGGCGCTTCTCATTTCGGACGAATTATCCGATTTATTAACGAAGGTAATTGCACAAATATTTTATCTGCGATCACACTTAAACAAGTATTTTTATATGCTAAAAGTGCATGTAGAACTTTTGGGTTGTGGCCATCACACTAGTGCTTGGGTACCAATTTTCATTCCCAATTTATTTGCAAAAATAGACATTTTTCATTTTTACTATTTTTTTCCGTTAATATCCAAGGCGTTGACTTATAGACCAACTTTAAAACCTGTTCTTTCTGAAATTTCTGAATGAACGACAAATACGATTTGTTGAAATTTTGCTTAATTATTTAATGAGTGTACCGAAAGTTGCTCCTACATTTTAGCCCCTGTTTAATGAAATATAAATTTATACCGACCTAGAATATTCCCGATTTTTCCTAGTAGGCAAGTAACATAATATTCGCAAAGAACTTTAACAATAAAACGAATTCCTTGGAAATCAAATGTCTACACATTTTAATCAAGTGTGTCAACACTTATTCGTGCTTTCAATGTGGACATTAGTTTAAAAAACTCGTCAAAACATTAATAAATAATTGGTAAATGATGCCTATTTAGGTCTTTGGGTTTAATCGTCAATTGGTGGCAAAAATAAAACACTATTTTTCTTGAGCTTTCGGCTATATTTAAGCCATATTTAAGGCTCTAAAACAAAAGAAAAGGGGGTTCAGTCTTAAATATAGTATTAATCACATGGTAGTAAATAGAAGATATTTTTTCATCGGTTATCAATTTAAATAAAAGCAAAGAGAAACCTAACAGCAGAGAAAAATAAATCAAGTATACGGTATAAAGGACCAGATCATAATTATTAAAAAGTAATTTAATTATGATATTGTCCTTTGTACCTTATACTTGACTTTACTCTGCGGTTAGGCTTCTCTTTTATTTTATTTAAATTGATGACTAAGTGAATCTCTTCTATTGACGACTATACAGGGTGTCCCGTAAGCGCATGACCAAAAGATTACTGCGATATTCTTTGCATCAAAAGAAGTCTGTCTGACCTAACTTTTATTAACAAAAAATGTCTCTCTCCTCTGCTATTGATGGTCAAAATTCTTCAAAAAATTTATGTTTTTTGAAATATCGGGAAAATGGTACGATGTATTTTGGTGAAACTCGCTGTGAATGTGTTTTTATGTAAGACTCATATTTTGATGAAACAATCGAGTTCCACCGTTTTGGACAAGTGGTGAGTTGTTGAGTGTCGTGGTACAAAAACTACCAGAACTTTTTAGCTGGATGAAGAAATCAACTATTTTTTTTTTAGGTTAACGTACTAATCATTTATTCACAATTTTGTGCTCTTTGTAAAATCTTCTAGCAAACAAAGTTTTTGCAAAAAAAATTTCTATTTTCTTGCCACTTAACAATGTTAGACATTAACTGCAAGTATCGTGATACGAGGCAAAAATTACTTTGTCAAATAATTGTTTTGATTCGAATGACCTTTTCTAATGAAGAAGTGAGCGACATGGTCAAAGTATAAAGGTTTTGCGAAGACAACTTGCGTGAAAGCGTACGCGTTTACGCGCCGCATATTTGCAGTTAATGTCTAACATTGTTAAGTGGCCAGAAAACAGACATATTTTTTTGCGCAAAAACTATGAATGCTTCAAGATTTTACAAAGAGCACAAAACTGTGAATAAATGATCAGTGCATCAACCAAAACAAAAAAAGGAATTGACTCTATCCACCAAATAAAAAGCTGTTTATACCACGACACTCAATAATTCACCACTTGTCCAAAACGACTGAACTCGATTGTTTCATCAAAAAATGAGTCTTACATAAGAACAAATTGACAGCGAGTTTCAACACAAGACATCGTACCATTCTCCCGATATTTCGAAAGATAGTTTTTTTTGAAGAACTTTGACCATCAATAACAGAGGAGCCAGACATTTTTTGTTAATAAAAGTTAAGTCATGTCGTCCTCTTTTGATCCAAAGAATATCGCAGTACCCTGTTGATCATGTGCTTACGGGACACCCTGCATGATTAATTTTACTAGATTTAAGACTGACGCCCGACTATTTTCGATTTTAGAGCCCTGAACATGGCCTAAATATAACCGAAACGTTTGGCCAAGAAAAATAGTGTTCTATTTTTGCCACTATTATCCGATAAACTCAAATATCTAAATACACATCATTTACCAATTACCATCACGGTCACTACCATAACGCGACATATGTAAAGTACGTGTAGAAATTTCGGGTTGTGTTGTTCAAAAGGTATTTATATGAGGAGCTTATTTTCAAAACGCAATTTCTAAAAGTTAATTTGAGTTGCAGAATAACGCTTTTTCTAAATCTAGCAATAAAAATGGAAATATGAATTCATTTTCGGTGCCAACAGGAACTTTGGTGGAAAATTTTGCTAAAAAAATTGGATTATAGTTAGAAAGAAAAAAACAAAAAAAGAAAATGCGTTTTGAAAGTAAAATTGTATTTTATAGGGTTTTGAAAAGAAATTTAAGGACTTATTGCTTTTGAAAAAAAGCTGAAATATTGTGTTTTTTATTTCTAAGAAAACTTACTCTAAACTAGAAAAAAACACTTCACTACACTTTCACCCCGCAATATTCTTCATTGCAGTCACATTTGATCTCTTCATCGGAAATATTCCGTTCTTCATCGATTGGATTTGTGGAACTGCTATTTTCATTATCTAACAAGTTTTTGTAGAATACCAGGCGCTGATTATTTTTCCAGTTTTCGTCGTATAAATTTAACAAACTTTGCTATGTTTTTATCTTTTAATAAAAACCCTTTTCATTTGACTTATTCTCATTAGCTTTTTGCAATTAACGTCGCTCATTTTCTTGACATCATAAAGGTTCCAGTCTACTCTAAGCTTTCTTACTGTTCCAACCGCTTCCAACAACTTTTCGTAATCTTGTTTATGTAAAACCTGATTTTGTTTTCCTCACTTGTGAACCTCATTTTTAGAATAACTAATTTACCTCACTTCCTTGCGTCTTTTTCTTCTATTTTTCGTACCCTGTTTCTTCTTCCTTGTTCCTTGATTCTTCTCAGACACAACAGCAGTGTCTATATAATTCTCCATTGTCTCCATTTCTAAAAACTCTTTCGCAGCACACCGTATGTAACAATGAAAACACGAAGTATTTGCAGAAATTGCGACTTGAAACGAAAAATTTAGAAATTGCGGCTTGATAAAAAATATTATTGCAGATATTGCGTTTTGAAAGAAAAAAACACTAAAATTGCTGGGCGTTTTACATGGCAGAAATAGCTATTTAACTAGGAATTCAAGTGGCAATCGAAAGGAATGTGCGCTGCGAGTGGATCGCCATCTCTAACCCAGTAGCGAATTTTTTTGCAGAAATTGCGTTTTGAAAATAAGTTCCTCATACATATATAAAATACAAATTGCCCTTCTTTTTCAGGTATGTGGATGATTGCATATTAGCCATTCCTCAAAACGAAAAAGAAAATTTGTTATCCTGTTTTAATTCATATCATCCTAAACTGAAATTTACAATTGAAATCGAAGAAAACGACAAAATCAACTTTTTAGTCTTAACTTTAATCCGATCAAAAAACACAATTAAAACTATCTGGTACACAAATCAAACATGGTCGGGCAGGTATTTAAATTTCAAATCTCAGCACCCTTTCTGCCAGAAAAAATCCGTTGTAATGGGCATTGCGGATCGAGCTATCAAACTTACAGATTCTGAGTTTCGACACAGCACAATAGAAAAAGCAAAACAAGTTTTATTAACAAACGATTACCCGCAAGCCATGATTAAGACAATTTTTAAAAACAGAATATACAAATTTTACAATATTGAACAAAATAAAAAGCCTAAAACCAATCCTAATCAATATCTAACAATCCCTTATATTCCAAATCTCTCAAAAAATGTACCGAATATCTTTCATAAAGAAAACATGATGGTAAGTCACAAAGGATATAATCTTCTAAACGTTGATTCTGACTGGAGACAACCAGAAACAGTCAACTTATTTTACTTTATTGTATTTTTTTAATTATATATATATACAGGGTTGCTCATTAGTGCGTCAAAGTGCGATATCTCAGTAAATATGAAGTTTACAAGAAAATTCATCCAACGAAAGTTTTTCACGTTTAAAAGGTCCACATTCTAAAATTACTTTCCAATATACAGGGTGCAT